TATGATCTTGAATCATGTTCTTGAATCATGATCTTGAATCATGATCTTGAATCATGATCTTGAATCATCATCTTGAATCTTGATCGTGAATCTTGATCATGAATCTTGATCATGAATCTCGATCTTGAATCATGATCTAGAGTCATGATCTTTAATCATGCTCTTAAATTATAATATTGAATCATGATTTTGAATCTTGATTCTGATCATGAATCTTGATTTTGTATCTTGATTTTGAGTCTTGCTTTTGAATCTTGATCTTGAATCTTGATCTTGAATCTTGACCTCGAATCTTGATCTTGAATCACTTAATCTTGAACTTGAATTTGGATCTTGAATCTTGATCTTCAATATTGATCTGTAATCTTGATCTTAAATCGTGATCTTGAGTTTGAACATTGACCTTGAATCTTCATCTTGATTCTTCAATCTTGTTTTTGAATCATATTTTTGAATCATGATCTTGAATTATGGTCTTAAATCATGATCTTGAATCATGATCTTGAATCATGATCTTGAATCATGATCTTGAATCATGATCTTGAATCAGGACCTTGAATTAGGATCTAGAAGCTTGATTTAAAATTTTGATTCTTGATCTTGAAATCATGATCTTGAATCATGATCAAAAATCTTGATCTTGAAATTGAATCTTGATCTTCAATCTTGATCTTGAATCTCGATCATGAATCTTGATCTTGAATCTTGATCTTGAATCTTGATCTTGAATCTTGATCTTTTACATCTTGATCTTGATCTTGAATATAGAATTATGATTTGGAATTTTGAATCGGGATCATAAATCGTAACCATTAATCTTGATACTGAATGTTTTACTTTACCTTCCTGGTCCAACGTTCTTCAGGGAGACTGACGTACAAAGTTTCGCTACTCTTGGTTCGGTTCGCGGCCGCTAGTCTCCAGTTTCTTGAGCATCCCACACATCATAGACGTAGCTCCACTTGTTCAAATCGCCTAGTTCCCCAGGTAACAAATTGATGCTTAACAAGTTTTCTTTCAACGATTTTAAGTCAGCCTTAGACTGAATAATTGCTGTACATAGACCACTTTAACCTTTGTTCAGCTTTTAAACATCTAAATCTGGTGATTTTAATCAGCCCAAAGCTTAACAGCAATCTAAATTATAAGCTTTTCAAGGCATTAACCAACAGTCTTTTCCAACCACTGTTCAGCCTTCATTTTTTTATTAAAAAAAAATGTAATGGAAGACCGCTTCATATGTTATATTTTTTATGAGACTGCTTTAGAATGTTGCTGACTGATTGGAATTACATATTTATATTGTTATTATATGTCTAAAAGTTACCTTTACATTTCGGAATTCGAACCGGCAGTCGCTGATGCACAGGCGTCAACTATACCCAGTCGACCACATAAGCATATTTGTGGCAGAAGGTATGATCATTAACTTGAAGCACGTCAAAATTAAGTTGAAAAATAGCAACCGGAAGAGTATTATACTGCAATGCAGAATTGTAAACAATAAATTGTGACAGTAAACCATTCCTCTCATTTCAAGTGCAGTAAACACAATGTGGACAGAAGTGCGCGATGTATTTCGATGCTGTTCTAGTGCTATAATTGAATTTTATTTTTGCGGTATGAAAATTAAGTGCAATATAAAGAGGTGAACAGACAAAACACAGGAATACTAATAATGTTAATACTTCCGACGTCGTCGCAGTCCACTTCAAGGTGGAGCTATTCTTAAAAGCTCCTCTTCCTTGCCTCTACTGCTGGTGCTGCTTGGGACTAGAAAGGTAGGCAGTGAATTTAGAAAAACTTAAATGTCGGAAATGCAACAAGTGACACTGACGACATTTAAGAATGTCACACCTGCGTAGGATATCGCACCCATTCAACACACATGGGCCGGGACCAACGGCTTTACTTCCCTTCCGAAGGAAGACGTGACCAGAGATTTTTATGCCTGAGAAAAATCCCACCGACCTCGGCTGGGATTGAACCCAGACCCATTGGGGTGTTAGAAATAAATAAGTCTTGTTCAGTCTTTATATCAGCTAACTTACTGAGGTTGAATTATGGGAATACAATTGCATGCACTACTAATCAACTGTATATTCAGCCTGGTGTTAATCAGCTTCGTACACCTTAAATCAACCAATAATCAACTTTTGTTCTTACAATTAAGCTTGAATTGTTACTTGGGTCACTGTGCTCCTCTGCAATGGCTGCATTCGAGGCAAAATTAATTTTTGTGAGATTGTTGTTCGGCATCCTTACAACGTGTCCAGCTCATTGAACCCTTTCAGCTTCAGTGATTTTCTGGATACTGTGCTCGCCATATAGTAGCGTTAGCTCGCGGTTAATTCTTCTAATCCAATCGCCGTTCCTAAGCACACATCGTTCGAGATATTCCAGGTACTTCAATAGCATTGTGCACGTCTCGTTCCCGTGGAGAGCAATCAGCGTTTTGAACATGATACACTTAAGCTGGGTTTAGACTAGGGAAGTCAAATGATCAACTCACTTGAATTCAATTAGCTTGCAAAGTTGAGCCTGGTTCAACTTTTTTCAATTCAAGTGAGTTGATCAAGTCAGTTAAATGGTATGGTTTACACGTTCGATTCGCGTTCAAGTCAGTTGAATTCAACTGACTTGATCAATTGACTTGCCCTGTCTAAACCCAGCTTGAGTACGGAGGCGAAGTTTACCAGACCTCAAGGTCTTGCGGTCAAGTCCGTAGTAAGGGCGATTTTCGGCAATAATGCGTCTCAATAATTCTCTGCTGCAGTTGCTATCCGATGTCCGAGGGACACAAATTCATCCACCTCCCCGAACTCATCTCCATCGATCATCACACTTCTACCCATTGCGTCATCGATTCGTTGAAAAAAAATAATCTTGCTTTCTATGTGAAACTGGAGATTTTTTACTCCGTCACGAATATTTTAAGCAGTTTCATGTGTTACATTATCAATACAATTTCGTATTAATTTGAATTTGTTTTGGCTTTACTCCTTAAAAGTACAGTCTAGACATATTAAAACGATCCTGATTCCGACGCCGCAAACAATTCTCAAGTGCAGAAGCCAATTCCCACCAGTCCCGCTCTGCGCAGCAATCAATTTCAGTGCATCCCATTTATATAAATAGATCGTTTGCGATGAATATCAATCCCTAGTGCTCATAGTCATAACCTATCTGCATTAAAACCATGATGATACTCAACTACATATTCCACCACCCCTATTCAAGGATTATAACCGTTCAGTGACAATTATTTATCCAAAGCTTCTCGACTGGCCTAGTTCCACTTCATCATCACAGTCGCACCTCATCACAGTAGCAGGGTATAGTGTGTGCGACGGTAATCACCACCGCACTAAAATTGTGGTCTTTCGAATCGATAGACTCCCACCCGGGAAGCCCGGATGGCCATCGCGGAAAGCATAATCATAATTGAATTGGATATCAATTTTATTGCAATCTGTGCCGCCCGCCTGCGCCCAGGTGAACCCACTTTTGCTCTCCAATGTGCACACATTGAAACAAGGTACTTGGATAAGCTTACGCAATCCAGTCCCATCCGCTGACGGGTGGGGAATCCAATATATGTGTATGGATTTAGCTAATTGCATTATGAGACTCAGTCATCGGGATCCAGCAAAATTGATGAGTTTTTCTCGGTGCATCACCGCAATCCTCACACAGGGATTGGGATTAATAATTCACGGTGAAGTCGTGTGAGTTTGACACATGAGAGCCAGACCGGTCCGGTCGGTCGGTCTGTCGGTGGATGAGTAGAATCTATGGCTCTTCACCAATGTTATTGCGTATGTCGGTCATTGAATTCTGACACGTCAAGTGACACTACTTCCCGGGCAGAGTGCGTCTCTCTAGATTCGAGGAACAGTGTGAATGGTACAGAAATTTCCCATGTCTCATTTTGTTATTTCGTTATGTAAACCATTTCATCGATTTTGAAGTAAATACATTGAATTACAGCTACTCGATATTCTACGAAACAATCGTCCATGCTTCCGTCTCCTCGAGATTCAACATTGCAACGAGACCCACCCGCCACATGCAGATGAAGTCGATATCAATGAGGTCAATTAAAATTGGCAAGTGGGTTCAATGGACCGCGGTCTGATTGGATTGGGTTGCCTGCCTGGGGTTGCACTGGGCTGCTAAAATTGACAACCAATCACCCAGTCGGTGGCTAAAAGTGCGAGCGTATGTGTTTTTCATCTCGTTATATAGTGACCAAATTGATGGATGCCACACTGACTGGCTGCAGGATCCTCAGCATATCTACTCTGGTACCGGCATTTATTTGATAAAGTGCACTGTAATTTGGCCAGTGAAATGGAAATAATTGATGACGCTGCGAACTGGAGTGAACTCGACGGTGAACCGCGTTTTTGGGTGCACCCGACGACGACCGGCGAGACAGTTTGTAAATGATGGCTTGTCAGGATTGTGTTTTGTGTGAAATTTTAAAGTCACGCAAACGTAATTCGATTTATGGGTTGCGAACAGAAGCTTCGCTAACCGATTGGCTTTTAGTTCAATTTTAATGTTTCATTTGACAATCGACGTACGGAAACCTGCATTATGCAATTTATTTACGGACAAAGTGCAAACGCGATGTCATTACCAGTGTCGTCATATATTGACGTCCTTCCAAGAAATAAAAAAAAAGAAGTACTCACTATATTTCAACACAAATATGTTCCACGCTTGCATTTTCCCTGTTAGCTGCAAAACAATTCAATCGGAAAAGCCCCTATTACCTTGAATACCTTTTGAACATTTCGAACTTTTCAGCCATTCTCCCCTCGGATGAGTGCACTTTTAATACGAAAAGTTTCGACAAGGTTGAGTCAATCATTTGCAGCGTTCTACATACGTGTTTAGTGCATTCAATGCCAGACAAAAAAAATGCACCCTTTCATACCTTCCATGCATGCGAGTGAATATTTATGTTCTGTTATTTTCTATTCTCATTCTAGGATCAAACTGGACCATCTATGTGGGGCTGGCTCTGACGGTGGCAATATGCATTGCAATCGGAGCCGGGCTCATGAAGCTGGCACGGCGGAAGAAGACGATTCCGGCTTACAATCTAGCTAGATCAGGTAGGTGGAACTTGGTTGATGATTCAATAACAATTCAATGTATGGGCTCTTTGGGCAACTGTTTACATTACAAATACTATGATGGACGAATATTCGGTGCATCACTACTCTTAACTTTTTCATAGTTTGGATGGGATACAAAAAATTAAGCCTGAGGTCTCAATAAATCGTAAATCAGAATCATGTCCAAGTAATTCCAAAATTTGCCATGTTCAAGAACGTTATAGTTTTCCAAAATGATTTCTTAAGAATCCTCAACAATTTTTGAGCCCAGGACACATGTTTTTTTTTTTTTTTTTAAACATTCAATCTCAAAAGTTTTTTGATGTCTGATGCCTGGAGTTTTGAATACGATAGTTGATTTTAAAACCTTTAAAATGTATCCACGTTTGGAGTATTGAATTTTCGTCCTGCCTATCGAAGATTCTTACAAGTTTGAGATCTCACACATTGATCTGTTGCAGAAATTTCTAGTCGCATTATCTTGAACAGTTTTGTTATACCAGTATATTGAAAAATACAATGTCTGAATTACCTAAACTCTAGTTGCAATTTCCAAACCTACGACTGGATGCCTTCCTTCAAATAACAACTGAAGTGCGGTAAAAAATCGGTAAAACTGTTTCAAACACACAGTTGGTACTGGAGCGGGTCGGTTTTCATCTCTTTTTGCCAGTGGTGGCGGAGGGGGGGGGACACCCCTCACCATCCCTCTCCAAAGGGGGATTTTTGTAAAGAGAGATGAAAAAACCGATTTGTACCTACCTTAAAAGTTGTCCTAGCTTGCTATTCTAATATCTATATACAATCTTCACACTGCCGTACTCTAACGGAACTATCAACTCTATGCTTTCATCTACTCCATCTATCGTATAAAAATTACCACTACAGTCTGTTATTTGAAATTAGCATCTTCAACTATCTAAACTCTTTGTTTAGCACATCCTCTGAATATATTGGAAAATAATAATAATCTTATGATTCTCTTCGGTATTCCCTAGAAATTTTCTCCATAACATTCTCATGAGTCAGTGTAGAACACTGAAAGAATTTCCTTCACAAAACTCTTGAAATTCACTCTACAATTATCTTCGTGTAAAGATCTCTCGGCTGGTTATCGTTTAAATTCCCTTGGAATATTCTTCATATATGTCATGACATGCCCGTTAGAATTAAGAAAGTATTCTTCCCAAAAAACCTCACTGTTCTATGGCAACTTCCTTTAGAATTCCCTTGAGAGAATGTTTCGGCATTTTCTCGGAATTATCTTGAAACTCTCCTTACCGTAGCTTTAATTCACATTGAATGCTCCTCCAAATATCCCTTTGTAAGCTGACATTTATTAAAAGTTGTTTAAGAATTCCATTAAATTCTGTTAAAAATTACCCTAGTAGTCTCTTCAGACCTACTTTGGAATTTGTCTTTAATTTTCCTTACTATTTTCATGAAATACTTACAAAAATAATATACATTGAACTTCTATTCCAATTCCTTTGGAATTCCTTTAGAATAATTCCTCCACAATTCCCCTCAAAACTCATTAGGCATTTGCATCAAAATTCGCTTGAAAATTCTTCAAAACGTTAGCGTTATCCAAGTCTAAGTCTCATATGTTTTAAAATCAGTTTTACATTTTTCGTTGTCCTTACTCTCGATAAACTGAAGAATACGAAAAACTGACCTAGCGTTTTTAACATTTTCTTATTCAATCTTCAAAATATTGTTTAATCTGAGTGGCCCATTTTACCCAGTAGCGTTCGACCTAGTGCCCGTGGAATAATTTACATGTAACTTGGAAAAATTTCAACATTCTGATACTCAAAAAAAAATTTGATCCTATAATAATAATTCTACTTATGGAACATACTTCGACAGTTTGTGCAATTTTTCCAATCAATTTTTCAAACATATTTAGATGTTTATATTATATTATTAAAAATATGCTGGGTACCTGGGACAAACCGGAAATTTTATTTCTTAAATTCAGTGGCTAAACTGCTTCGATCTTCATCCTGATCGCACTTTTCTTCGTTCTGTTTTTGTTCTTCGTCCAGTTGTTGCTTCTCGGGCTGCTTCAGAGCCTTCTGCAGGACAATAATTCATCCAGTGCTTGACAGAATACACTCCCCTTCCGATTGAGGAAATGCAGCGATATGGGAATTTCCTTTTTCGCATCCATATATACCAGTGTACATGTCGAAGCACAGCTCTGCAGAGAATTTCTCCCGGATGGCACGCCCAGCTTTATCATATTTCCCCAGCACCAACGCAAGATCTTTGTCGGGCACTTCTGGTGGCAGATCATACTCTCACACTTATTGAACATAATTCCCCGCATTCGACATGCGTACCTTGACTGCTTTTCCATCATCATAATGAAAAATGAATTGCTCAGCATTATGCAACAATGTATGGCGCATCGATTATTCGGACTTAAACCAGTACTGTCATGGTAAATTGAGAGATGGTAACTCGCTTAATTTTCATATGTGCGCCCTTTACCTAGATGGATGGTTTAAGAGGTCGCACAGATAGAAGTGTTGTTAGTTTTTTGACGAAAACGAGCATTTCGTGTAGCAAGTTTTGCTAATACTCCTCGTGTTTATTCGCGAACTTTACATCAAATATTGATCGCCTGCGTAGGAAATCAACTTGCCAAGGCATTTGTGAACAGCATACACATTCCGGTCGTATGAAACCCTTAATTTCCCGCCTAGGCTCCGGACGACCATAAATTCATGTGCCTCTTTTCACGAGACTCCATAGTTGTAATGTAAGAACGTAACCACAATTTAGTTCCCTCTTATAAACGCTGAGGTATTGATGGAGTTCTCTCACCACTGCTGTGGTCATTAGTTGTAGACGATTTTCTAAGAAGCAAAAGGTTTCGAAGTTGTGGGCTTTGCGGATGACATAGTCATTATAGTAAGAGGAAAGTTGACGTTATCATTTCTGAAATAATGCAAGATGCGATGAAACATTTTCCAACAGTTTTTCAAGCGGAAATTGTAGCCATACTTGAGTCTGAGGAGGAAATACAGATGTGTAAATATTGGTATTTTTTCTGATAGTCAAGCAGCGCTGAAAGCACTGAGTGCTTACAAATGTACATCAAAGATTGTCTGGGAATGTATTCTCTCGCTTCGGCAACTGTGCCAACGGAACTCAGTAAAACTATATTGGGTACCAGGACACTGTGGAATTGAAGGGAATTAAAGGACAGATGTCCTAGCACAGTTAGGTACCAATTCACAGTTTTTTGGCCCAGAACCATACTTTGGATTATCATACTGTACGGTAAAAATGGAACTCAAATGTTGGGAAGAGCAAAGGGTGATGGTCAATTAAATGACTGTCACAAACTGCAACCAGTCGAAAAGATTTATAACTCCTAATGTAACATACACCAAAAAGCTCTCTGCAGAGCATATGTTCCGAGGTTCCACGTTCCAAATTACAGAAACGACAGATATCACTCTGAACCCGACCAATGTTCTTCATGTGATATCTACTAGGACAGTGCCCAGTTACTAGGCCAATGTATAAATATACTAGAAGCTCTTTTATTGCTCTTAGTATATACACTGGCCTGTTAACTGGGCACTGTCCTTGTAGATATCACATGAAGAATATTGGTCGGTTTCAGAGTGATATCTAACGTTTCTGTAATTTGGAACGTGAAACTTCGGAACATCTGCTCCGCAGTTGTGGTGTATTACACAAGCGTAGATCTAAATTTCTTGGAAGTATTAGCTTACAACCTAGTGAAATTTGGTCTGCAAATCCTGGAAAGGTGGTTGGTTTTATAAACCATATTATACCGGACTGGGAAAAGATGTGTCCAAGCAATTAGCCGTCCACTTGTTAAATAGTGGTCGGTTTGCATGATACAAACAGCAAATAGTGATACCACAAAGGTTCAAATAATGAACGCAGTGGTTTTACTCCCTTCCCCAACAAAAAAAATGGATGTAGTTTGTTTGTCATCAACTCTCCATAAAAAATTTTTCAATCCAATACAATCCAATCAATTCGTTTTATTAGCTATAGAATTTTTGAGACGTAAAATTTCTATGTGAACCAGATCTCAACCTTGATAAGCCAAACCCTCAACTTCTTTTCTATCCTGATATGGTTGTTTTACGTGGCCTGATTATTCTTAAACCAATCCTCATATGCGATACATAAAATCACATGTGGTGTGAATTTTTCTAACGTTGTCAAAGCTTCCCTATATCTCTCAAAAACTTCCAGTATTTAAGGATCCTGTTATATTCCTGAAATCCTTTGAATTTCCCTAAACTTCACTTTACATCTGTAAAGATTTTGTAAATTTCCATTGACTTTTCGATGCTCTCTGAATTTCCCTGAAATTCTTTCAAATTCCCTGAAGTTCACTGGACTTTTCTAGACTGTCAGAATTTCCCCAAACTATTCTGAATAACTCAATAACTTCTTAAAATCCCCCTTTGATCTTCCCTGAAGTATGCTAACGGAATATCCATTAAAACCTACAAACTTTTTTGAATTTCTTTGAATTCTCCTGAAGTTCCCAAAATATGCTAGATGTTCCTGGAACTCCTCTTAAACTGCCACAATTTTCCTATTATTCATGAATATTATCCGACGTTCTCGTTTTTTTTCCGGATCTCTCGGAACTTTTTGTAGTTCCCATATTTGTTCTGGAATTCTCGGAACTTCTGTGAAGATCCATAACATTTCTGAAGATTTCTTCACTTCTTTGGAAATCCCTGAAATTATCAGCGAATTTTCCTGAAATTCTCAATCCAAATAATTTACACGGTCTAAGATAGGCACTGAAATGCTACAGATTTAATTGAAATTCATGGAAAAGCCGTGAGTTTAAAGGGACAAATTTTTCAAGATCTTTACTCTACTCTGAAAGAAATTAATTTCCAAAAAAAAATGGCCCTGAAGTTATTGTTACTGACTCATAGATCTGAGAACCCACGGAAGAGAAGCTTGGCACAGCTACTCTT